AGCATCATTCTTTTTCCTGGTATTTATTTGTGAGCCTATCATTCTCGAAATCTGATTTTAGCAAATGATAATAAAATTCATTCCTGATCATTTCCACTTTGAATGAGATTCTATACTTCAATGTGCGACCAATTTGGTAATTATTTATTCAAGCACATCAGCTTGTTCATACCTCTTATTTGTAATACCATTAAGACTTCTTGATGCAAGTAGCTAAATTATTTGAGTTATTTTAGATCACTCATAAAGTACCAATCACAGAGAGGCTATTGTTGAGTTTTGTTCCTTGATTGACTTGGGAATATACATTAGTTGCTGACTAAAAGATTATTTTCTTGCTCGTAATTACTAAGTTCCGATTTAATTTTATGACCTTTAACTTGTGAGGCTTTGCAATTTGCTCACGTAAGTCTTAGCAAGGATAGAATGTTAACAGCAAGGCCAAGCTACGTCTTGCTCCCTTGATGAGTGAAATCTCTCAAATATGCGCAATGAAGTTAGTATATTAATTCATTGTGATCCATTACATTTCAGATACACGAGAAATGTAGATCCTTTCTTTTATTGTTTACTTTCATGATAAAAGAGAAAAGTATAAACTTTTGAAGTATTGCAAATGTGAACTCAATATTTGCAATAACCCGGAAAAAGATTACCGTGTTCAACCGTCTAACAATGTGTAGCAATAGCTTTGAAAGTTTGAGACTACTAATTGTGTGTTGATATTGACAGTTAACTCATACTTACTATTTCTGATTGATATTAAATTATGTAACAGGTTTTCTTCTGCAAAATTTTGTGATGTATGCCAAGCATCTAGAGAGCTGCATTCGAGAAATTTTTATTTATTGTTTGTGAAAATACAAGGGTCTCTTCTCTTTGCTGTTTCCAGGCTATTTTCAATTTTCGAAAACACTAAAAACACGTCTATTTAACTATTTTCAGAAACGAATTTTTCAAAAACGAATTTAAAATTTACGAAGAAAACGGAAAACGTCAAAAAAGTCGTTAAAACCAAGCAAAAACTTCTATTTTTAATTTTTAAAAATAATTTTTCAAAATACCAAAAAGAACGCATTTTCAGCAATATCAAAATGGACATTGAAAATACTAAACTCAAAATGAATTCAAAACTCAAAACTAAAAATTGAAATACGAAGAGAACAGACCCTAAACTTCCCATTTCAGGAATTTACATTTGCCTTTTCACTTGAAAATATTTGTTATATTTTGATTGTCGACTATCTTACTGGATTTCAGTTGACCATTGATTAACCTCTGCTTTGTTGAAATTTATTGCTTCCTTTCATATTATTTACCTCTTTACATTCTGAAATATATTTTCATGCTAGTGAAGTTAATAACCTTTTGATTTCATAAATGCAGGTTTTATGCAGCAGAGGTTCTTTTGGCGCTCGAGTATCTTCACATGTTGGGAGTTGTGTACAGAGACCTGAAACCAGAAAATGTTCTGGTTCGCGATGATGGCCACATTATGCTTTCGGACTTCGATCTGTCCTTGAGATGTGCAGTTTCACCAACCTTAGTAAGAACTTCTGGGTCTGATTCTGATCCTTCTAAACGAGGAGCCGCATTCTGTGTGCAGCCAGCGTGTATTCAGCCCACATCAACATGTATTCAGCCATCATGTTTTCTTCCTCGAATTTTTGGTCAAAAAAGTAAGAAAAATAATCCAGGAAAACCACGAGCAGAGCTCGGTCTGCACTCTGGCATACTGCCTGAGCTAGTTGCAGAACCCACTGCAGCACGGTCCATGTCATTTGTTGGCACCCATGAATACTTAGCCCCTGAAATCATCAAGGCAGAAGGCCATGGAAGTGCAGTGGACTGGTGGACTTTTGGTATTTTCTTACACGAACTACTCTACGGTAAAACTCCATTTAAGGGCTCTGGGAATCGAGCAACCCTTTTCAATGTAGTTGGGCAGCAGCTTAAATTTCCAGACTCACCTGCAACCACTTATGCCAGCCGGGATCTTATCCGAGGACTACTTGTTAAAGATCCACAACAGCGGCTTGGAGTGAAGAGAGGTGCAACCGAGATAAAGCAGCACCCTTTCTTTGAGGGAGTTAACTGGGCTCTGATACGCTGTAGTACACCGCCGGAGGTGCCAAGACCAGTCGAGATGGAGTCTCCAGTGAAGTTTGGGCAAGTAAGCCCAATCGGGGTCAGCAGCTCCAGCCAAAGGATGGTAGGAACAGACATGAAACCGGGGGGAAATTTTCTGGATTTTGAGTTCTTTTAGTTTAGGAATATTATAGGATTCTTGTCCTGTTATAGCATTTCAACCATCTTGTAATGAATTTCTCCATCTGGGTTTTAGAAATGAATTAGAGGTGCTTAATACATTGTGATAATGTTCTGTATTATCCAATTTAAAGCCATCCAACAGCATGCAGAAAACTCTGAATCCCAGCAACATAGCTTCACTATCATCACGGTTAACAATAAATTAGGAAAACGGCTATAATTGAATATTTGACGAATAATATGTAGGTCAGGACAGGATAGAACAAGATCATTAAAGAGAATACGCTACGAAAATGACAAAATTAAGAGCTTGTCTGATGTAGATTTTTTGAGAATAAATTTTGTAAAAAGTGATTCATTTAGAGAATATGTAAATAAAATAGAAGGAAAAGTTCTGGTCTACTATTAGAAGAGTGTAGTTAAATGAATTTTGAAGGATTTCTACCAAAAATGGGCTAAGTCATCTTTTAATGAATTTGAAATTAGTTATGAGAATTATATTTTAGTTTATTCAATCGAAAGATCTTTAGCAACTAAATTCTATACAATTTAATATATTTTGCAATATGATAACATTGATCAATTATGATCTTCAAAGTTCACCTATCCAACACGCCAAACACACTATTAATTGTTGGTATCATGATCACAATGGAAACTAATCCTCTTAAGTGACAAAATAGCTCAAGCCGAAGAAACGGGGGGAGAATTCGCATCACGTGTAACCATCTATTGGCCCAGCACAATTCGAGTGTGTGGATAGGGTCAAGCCACATAAAATGTAGGTTGTGACATTTGACTTGACTAATTCACATCCATATGACATTCTTTTACGTTCAATGAATAATATGAGGAATATCTAAAAAAATCATTTCAAAAATACATGTCGGGGATCCTCATTGTTCCAATTTTTCCCAAATAGTGTAGGGATGGGGGAAATAAACCTATTCTTTGGAGTGGAATTCTATAAATCTTCACTCCAATTCTTCACACAAAAATCTTCAATCTCTCCTCGCTAATTTTTTTCATTTGCATCTCCAATTTATTTTCCTCTACATTCCATTTGAATTTCATTTCTTTTATCATACAAAACCATAAACGACATCAAGAATTTGGTTCTTTTTACGAACTGGATGTCGATATTTCTCATTCACTAGAAAATAACAATGGGAGAGAATTCCAACTGTAGATCGTCGTCATCATCTTGTTGAGAAGATCTTCAACCATGTCAGATGATGAGATGTATAAAAGGATAAGAAGTGAAAGATAAGGATGAGATATGAGGTGTATATAAAGTAGAATGGATCAATATAGTAAAAGTAATTTAAACCGTTCAAAGTGTTGGCATGTATAGTAAACAGTGCATGACACTATAATTTGACGTTTATATCCAAAAACCTAGACTCAAATTTTCCTCTCCCACCATTTCCCCCATAAACATTATTTCAGATTGAGTTTTTTTACCCCCAACATTTTCCCTTGGGATTTTTCCCCCTTGGGATTTTACTCCCAACATTAGTTTTGCTCAAACCAAGGGTGTGAAATAATTGAGCAACCAAGTGCAAGCGATGATAAGCTCAAGGTATCCAGAACATCTGAAGTCCTAGATGGCCCAGACCTTACTTTTCTTTTCAATTCTCTTAACAAAAAATTTTAATGAGAGAGGCAATGATACATGCAGCAATCCATGCTAGACTATAGAATTCAAATCTTATTAAAATTCCAAATCATGGGGCACACAATTTCAGAAAATGTATTCATTTTTACCAAAAATACAGTTAATACTAGACGCATTGTCACACCTTTAATCACCTAAAATGAAGCTCCCACCCAAGTACTTGAGGTTTGAGCCTTATATCGAAGAATATCTTACGAAATAGACCCACTCCGTATCAATATAGCACTAAAAACAACACTACAGAGTAGAAAAATAGGATAGAGGAGATTACAGAGACTACACTCGATCCAAAATTATGGACATTTTTCTCTCCTATGAAGAGAACCTTGTCCATGCCCACCTCAAATAAATTAATTTATCGGCAAAATATTATTCCAACCCTGAACGGTAACCAACTCTTTTTTCGAAGGGCCCTTCTATTTTCTATTTCATTCAACTCAAATTTAACATAAACTTTAAGAATTTTGCTACAATTGCTAATCATGATAATCTATTTGTATCTCACATCACTCCTAAAAGACTTGCTTCGTGAGTTTATAGTACATTTACAATTAAGGTCGCGTCTGCATAGTAATAAACACACGTTCATTATTGTGACTGACCATAACATTACAGAGTACAGTTTGATCAACTCTGGCTCCTCCAACTTCAGTCTTTGCACAAAAAACCACATTTACAATGTAAAATATTCTTATGCAAGTGTAGAACTAATGTAAGTCATGAAGGAAACTGACTGTTCCATCCATCAATCCAATGGCATTGTGATCCAACTAAAAATGAATAGGGAGAAATAGGGGAAGACATACCATTAAAAAGGAAACAAAACCCAAATTTCACTGGTCCATGGGATGACAGAAATGTATAGATGGATACATTAAAGTCTTACAACATTAGCATAGTATAGTATAGTATATCCATATATTGGATCTAAGACCGAAAAACTGGTTAAGAGAGCACAGGGGTTCAACACGAGCCAGTCGCATGCTCGTTTCATGCCAAAATTAGCCATCAAGGCATGGGAAACTATCATTTCAGAAAACAACTATTCCTCTCATGGGGATGTTGCAACTGCCGTTCCCGTCTCATTTTCAGGGAAACCAAATTTCTCAAACAGACCCTGAAGCATCAAGATAGAATATATGGTGACTGATTAACGGAGAGAGAGAGAGAGTAGTAATTTATGCTACATAAGTGCTGGCATACCATTGTATCGTTAATTGCATAGGCCACACAGTAATGCTCCTGAAAATCAGCAATTTTAGAATAAAAGCCTTCAAACTCATTTCGACCATACATATTTCAAATCAACTTATAATGTGACTTTTTAAAAATCATTATTGACGACCAACGAAAACTATTAGGAGGCGACCACCTATCACAATTTCATGTGGAAACTCAGCCAAGAAATCATGCATGGAAGAAACTTGATTGGGACAGCAAAACTTTGTTAAAATTTCCTCATAAAATCTCAATTTCGTCATGTTAAAAACTATAATTGATCTTTTTCTTTTAAGAAAAGAAATCATTCTTGCTTTTTTGAAAAGGAATTCATGAATGCAATACACATTATTTTGATAAAAGAACATTTTTATTATGCAATATTAATTATTCTGATAGAACATTTTTATTTTTTTCAAAATAATCTCTTCCTGCCTTAATCATATAACCCAATTATACAGATAAAATCACCACCTTAAATCATATTTAAGGGATAATAAAAAGAATTTTACAAAATCACAAACATGGCATTCTTATAGTCGGATAAAAGACTATCTAAAGCACTTCTTTTCCAAGGGAATATAGAAGAAAATTCTTGCCTGCAGCATGTACCACTCTTCAAACTCATCGAACAACTCCAACCGTTCAATCCTGATGAAAAGAACACAAATAAGAACACTGAAAGAGCATCGTATATTAAATGCAGATAAGGAAGAGGAAAAAATGCACTCCGGAAAATCTGGAAAGAAACAGCCCTTTAGTCTTTAGAACAAAAACACTTTAGAACCGCAAAAATCAAAAGGGCTGTACTCTAGCAAACACTTGGAATCTTCATATACAACGGAAAATTCAGAAAGCAGTACTTGCTTTCTAGAAAATGTCAAATGGAATGATTACATTCCAGGTATGTCCAAACATTTGTATTACAATCCAAATTAAGATATAAAACTTAAATTGGCATCTGAATCATATAGTATTGCTAAGATTCAATTTCTCATTTGACCTACTCATTGAACCACAACCCATAAGGTGGAAAATGATTAATTATAAGACTGGTACTGGAAATCCTAAATTTTTATTCAACTATTTTTTAAAATATAATGAAATTACTTCAGCATCCTCATATGCACCACAGAACTTGCTGATCTAAATATCTCAATTTCAACCAAAGTGTAGACCTGAAAGTATTTTATTACTTAAATCAGAAAACTACGTTAAGAGTTAAAAACAGCATCATGGAGACATAATAATTTCATCTTTCAGAAAAACAAAGCTCACCATCCAATTCTAATCCAATAAGTTGTACATAAGGATGCAATGGCAAAACCCCATAAAGAGCTGCTAAACCCAATAGTCCCTAGGTACAATAATGGGGTGTTGTAGAGAAACAACACTGTGAAAGGCAGATAAGTACAAACTTTTTATCATGAAATTAAAAGGAGATGCAGAATTAACTCATAGAGGACAACCCAGTTTAAAGCAAAACTGGAGGCATTCAACCCAACAGTGTATATGATACCGAAAACAGGATTCAATTTGTCCACAACAGACAATGATATATTTGGGCATAAACTTGAGGCAAAGGAGAGCAGTTAGAAACATATCTCAATTTTAACGATCCAAAGCTTCAAGGGGTTCTTATAGAGATGTCAAGACGGAGACCGCGGGCCGACCCATGACCCGAGCGGTCGGTTCACGGGTCAAGGAGGTGTGACCCGTGGGCTTTGCGGGTTGCACCTTCACAAGCCGCGGTTAACCCGTTGGCCCGTGAAAAAAAAAATTAAAAATTTTTGAAAAAGAGTAAGTGTCAGCCTAGTTGGAATGCACTTATGCTATAAATATTTGATAATAGTAATTAGAAATTCATTTAGTTATTTGTTTAAGTTAAATTTAACTTTGCAAAGTTATAAATAATTCATGTAATATTAAATTTGAATTATATGTAAACATTTTTTGGTTTAAATATGAATTTATCATTTTGTTTAANCATAAGGGCCAAATCGGAACAAACCGTGACCCGTGACCCGTATGGGCTCGATCGGGATGGGTCAGCGAGTGGACCTGGGTTGTAATCCAAAATTTATGAGCCGACCCGGAACCCGTAGCCGGCGGGCTTTTTTCACGCGGGCCGTTACCGGGCTTATATGTTGACCGAACCATCCGGATTGACACCTCTAGGTTCTTAGTTCTCTTTAACAAATAACAATCATGAAAGGAGCATAATATCATAAGAGGAACCATAAACCATATCAACAATTATAGCAACGAGATATTTCTCATGCGAAAAAACAATTTCTACCTGTGTTTTTCCTGGGCTTCAATGAAGTTACTGTACACTCTCAGCATGTCCCAGGCAACAGCTCTCTAAAGCACCTCGATAGAGATCACAATAGTGTGTGAGGAATGAGAAACTCAGGCAAAGTTGACCAACAAAGAACGAAAAACCCAATAACAAGGGAGAAAGAGATGCAAGTGAAAGAAAAAAAGAAGTAACGCAAAAGTTTGACAGCCTTTGCTAGAGAAGGGGTAAACAAGAATAGAGATCATGCTACATGTTCTGTAGAGCATACATGTGACCATTAATAATATTCCCAACCCATTCATTTTAACGGCAAGGTAAAGAATTTCATGTTCACAACACTGATGTGGGTTTAATCTCAGAATCCAAAAGCTAAATCTCGACACAATCTCTATCCCCCAGCAGCTTAATAAGTGAGAAGCTTTCTGGTCCTAATACCCACCCCCACACCCTATGGCTTCATTTATTATGCGTTAGGCAAGTTTGTTCCAAACGAGACGACTACTAAGTACTCATAGACATCACTACATTTACTAGTGATAAAATACTCCTGCCTTCCAAAAAAGCTAAATTATTTTACATGGTGAATATCAGGTGATGACACACTTGAACATCAGGACCTGTGCTCTAACAGAAACTTAAGCTTTCTAAACATCTTCTTGAAATATAAAAATGTCAATTAAATTCTACAAAAGGACTATCTTTTCTTCCCTTTTTTCCATTTCTTTTTCTTTATCTCCTTTGTATGAAGGAGTGGGGGAACCAAGAAGCAATACTTTTCATCAGGAGAGAATACCTGCCATCCTTGATCAAGAAGAAGTTTCTCCTTAGCAAGCAAAGTCGGTGTAGCATAAATGCCCAATAGCGCACAACCACGACTCTGAAATAAAAAGTCAATATTAGATCTGCTTGCATGCACTTCCAAAAAAATATCTTGACAGGGATTATTGTTTTCTTTTGTTTCAATAAAGAACACAAAAAAAGCTTCATTGGCACATAAAGTAGTATGTAGAAATAAAAGTTTGGATAATTTCAGCTCTACATCTATGACTCTTAAATCTGTTAATAAATGAAATCACATATGTGATAGCACATAAGAAAACTGTAAGTAAGCTGCTATCATGTTTTGCGTAGGCCTAAAGAGGATCTCGTGAATAAGAGAGAAAGGATCTCCATAGAACAGGTCAGAAGAGAGGGGATACACTAAAATAACATGGCCTATGGTAGTTGGCTAGTTGCTAAAAATCTAGTCGCATCAGGTCTTCCCGTATATTTAGCAATATAACAGAATAAAGTGGGAAAAATGATTCATGTAGCCGATCAAAATTTACTGGGGAAAAATCTTAGTCACGTGTTGTTGTTTTTGCACGGTTTAGATAATTAAATCATAACCATTCTCATTCTTTGACTGCTGGTCATGAAACATAAATAAATCAAAGGAACCTTTTCACTCTTCACTAAATCTATTTTTCTTTTCCTTTTCGTGCAAAAAGGGGCAGAAGTACCTCCAGATTTCTAATCATCTGTTGCCCAAATGCGTCATCTGGATGAATCTGTGAACAGCACGAAACATGAAAGTGAAAACACAAGAACCAGTATACAGACTATGTCAGCAGTAGAAATGGAGAAACCCAAAGATAATTGAAAAGTTGAGGTTTAAAACGTTCCACAACCTGCTCATATAAGAAGAATACAGCTGTAGAAAATGTCTTAGATGCCCATCCGACTATACTGCGGCTTGAATCTGGATCCAAGTATATAAGAACGCATTCTGCAATTATAAATGTTGGCAAACTGATAATGACATCAGATTGGCAAGGTTTAATCATTCTTTCACATGAACCACAAATACAAGATGATCGCTTTATCAGTTCCATAGAACAATAAAACTAGAGCAAATAAGAACAGGAAACATACAAGAGCCTCTGTAATTTTCTGCTCAATACATCTAAGCATGCTACAGTTTACGAATCAATCAGAGGGTACAAACAAAAATTTCAGTATTTTAGACCTTTCATTTTGAAATTTATTTAAACGATTATCCATGCGCACATTATCCAAGAGCATGCATATTAGCTGCAGAGCAGGAGACAAAAAATCTAATACAAGAAGCAAATCCTTATCTAATTAAACCAAAATGTTCGTGTCATGTTAATTTTGTACACCCAACCCTAAAAATATAAATATATACACGACTCTTGGGATTGAATGGGAAATAAAGCAAAAAAATGATAGTAGTAGTAATTAAATAACATGAGCTAGAAACTTGTGCAGACCCATGCCATAGGATCCCCTAAGTGAGGGTGCTGAGGAGAAGACTACCTAACTCAACACTTAAGCTATGTGAATATGGAGCAACAAAATTTCTAGTTGCCTGGTATGAAAAGAATCAAGCCAAAAAGAACTATATCAGACAATTCGCCGCAAATTGAAAATTGAAGAAGTTTAGAATAATATATCATCTTAGGCCCTGTTTGGTCCACATTATTTTTTTCATTTTCATTCTTCTACTCATTTTCAACCACACATTTTTCAATAAAATAATATTTTCCATCACATCAATAACATTTCCTTCTTTTTCAACCACATATTCTCCATCACATCAACAGTAAAAATGCATTCCTACATTCAAAATGTGCATCAAACGGGGGCTTAATGATATAAAAGAACAATTAACATGAACTTCGGAAAACACATCAAGAATCCAAACTATTTAGGTGGCTCATACCAAATTCATAGTTAAATAATCTGTAAACAAAGCAGAAAAATAAAGCAAGTACGCATACCTGAGATCAATATTAGCTAAAGTAACAATATCGTCTAGCTTTTGTAAATCACGCAAGTCAACAGGAAGTAATTTGTAGTGATCGCTAAGCACTTCCCCTTTATCTGCAAAAATAGCGATGCTTCATTGTTATGGCAAAAAAACTTACACAAAACCGAATAAATTTTTCCAACCCATGTTATGCTGTTTAGGAATGAGGGTGGAACTCACAACTTGAATTGAGGGTAAGAATATACTAGGGAACAACCATTAAAATCCTCCTGAGTAAAATTTTCACCGCATGAAACTCAAAATGCATTATTGATTGTTCAATAATTAACAAAAGACAACTGCATCAGAACAGTAACTGCCATAACATGTCAAAAAGATCGGAATTTACGTTTAATACTCCAACTGCATTGATAATTTATGTAGATGTCTACCAAATAGAAAACTTGTGACAATTAATAATTTGGAAGCCAACCACTGCTAAGAAAATCCAAATGAACTAATAAGACCTTGAAGATTTTTCAAGATGTACTCGCATCAGGAGAGCAGTGATCGATTTCTACAATTATCTAGATGAGTTTGCGAATTGATGAAACTCTAGGGCCCTAGATCAATCCCATACAGGAATCCTTTTCTGGTAACATTAAAAGGCAAGAATACACATGCAGCATGTGAAATGAGACTTTGTAATCCTCAGACAACTAGTACTAGTAACGCCCTATGTTATTAAAAAAAAAAAAAGCACGTGTGAAGATGATTACACATATATTCTCTCATTGCAATAGTAACCAAATAAACAAACAGTACAAAGTTTCTGCGCGATTAAGAACTTATAGCATCGTACTAGAGGTTCAAGTGATGCTCCGTGTACATTAAAACATCCATTATCTCAGTTTTTACTAAAGCATATACGTATATTAAATAGAGTACATTGTGTCCCTCGTTAGCACTTTTGCCTGTTAAAAGTATACTGTGAAAATGAGAGAAAATATTATTAGCCAAAGCAGAAACATAAAATAGACGCGCATACAAATTGATGTAAGGTACATCCATCATTAGAAAGTCTATGACCCATTTCGAGGCATTAACATGTCGTCGTGACCTTGAAGCATCTAATGCCACAGCCTCCAGATTTGAACAGTAAAGCCTTAATCTGATACACACGCGAGTAATTAGAGGAAGCTTTGGGAATCAATAATTGGAAATTTCCTCCATTCTTACCCTAACAAGCATGCACCTTAGTTGCCCATTTGTCTCAACAAACTCACCCTAGTACTCACTGTCTTTCTTATTAAGTACACATAATTAGGGTTTTTTTGGTTACGTAGACTATTGATTATTAAATATAATGTTATGTTGAAATCATATTTTTGTTCCAATTCTTCAATTCTTGGGAATTTCTCTACGTGCATATTTGGCATTCTGTGGCCATCCAATTTTTGTTCCAATTCTCTATGTTTAAATTACAATTTAAGCCGGTCAAATACAATTATTCACACATTCTAGGGACCAACAACTTCTTATCCATTTTTTATCCACGCATTCTGTGGAGCCATTGCTTAAATCATACACTTCCAAACAAGCACTCTCTCTCTCTCCTACTGTCCTTGATTCTCTCTCCAATTATGCATCAGCTTCATTTTAACCTCTATTTGGCAAAATTTATAAATGGTCAAATTTCATTTTTAACCACATTCCAATGGACCAACGAATACCACTCACTTATTTCTATTTATTTATAAATTAAACTGTTATGAAATTCTTACCAAACGAAGCATAAGTAAAAAAAAAAAAAAAAAATTCGGCCATATCGGCAAGGTTACAGTTTTGTGGTAATTTGCATATATCATAGGGAAATGGGGAAAGTTGTACAAGTCAGAGTCTCAGTAAATGTGACCTAATTCTTACTGTGAGAAATTGATGCAGTTTCACCAACTTTATCCCTCAATTGACTGCAGGTTTCAATAAGAGCAGCTTTCTTACTGGTCACCTAACAAATTGAAACAATGGCAAATGAGAAAAGTTAGAATTACGAGATAAAACTAATCATTACAGGATTTCAATAAATGAGAAAAAGAATGGCACTGCCAAACAAAACTAAAAGTAAACGGATGGCACAGAAGTTCGACTACTCAAATAATGTTTCTTGAATCCATATAAATCACCGGACACAACGATCTCTAGGAACATTTATAAGCCAGCACATAATTAAATACTCACATGATATTCCTGAGTTTTCCAAATTTATACCTCTTTGAAGTCTAGTTCCACATACAGATAAGGCGCTTTCCCTTCATCCTGTAAAAGAAGAATACAGTTAGCTTAAAGACCTACAAATATATTTCATATTTTCAGATTTAAGTTAGCATATTAAAATGATTTATGTCAGTAGCCATACCAACTCTAAGTTGAGCAAAGAGATATACAAGCATGCACGGAAGGATCCATGTAAGCCTATAGAATTGAACTGAAATTCTAACCACTTTAGAGGTTTTCTTAGGACTCAAGTATGACAACTTCCATCCATCAAAATGGACCTTCCGAAATCCAAATGCACAGTTCATCAAACATTGTCTGTATCTCTCTAAGTAAGTATGGATAGTACACTACAATTTATCTGGAAAATAGATCCCCTATCATACGTTTCATAAAAATGAAACTGATTCTTCCACTCCAACCAAGTAGAGATTCACAATTCTTCTTTCAAACAGATATGCAATTCAAGTGTAATACTATGCTTATAGAGGCACACGTGACTAGGGGAATGGTGTAAGAGAAGTGTCGACATCAGGAAGCATAGAAATCCCAGATCCATGAACAGACTGCTTTCTTGTTTAACAAGAAGTATTACAGAAGATGAAAGAGAAAAGGAAAGAGAACACAAATTATGAAAGCAAAAGATATTACTTATATCAATTACTCAAGTTCATCTTGACAAAAATTATTCATCACATGAAAGCTCAAGCACCTGCAACTGAAAATATGTAGTATCAAAGCCAGCTCCAAGTGACAGTATTTGCTTCTTGGCGTTACCTTGCACATCAGTGTCTATTTCACAATTAAGAAATTGATGAAGAAGCTTTCTGACTGCCGCATACCGAGCAAAATATCCTTGATATTACAAAAATAAAAATGAAACCATAGCACATAAAAACAAGCAACTCAGTAAGCAAGGTCCAGATAGGGAAAATAATCAAACCTTACCACGATTAATTATTGGAGATCGCAGCACTGGCTTTTTTACAAACAGATGAACGTAGTCATCCTTCATGTATCCCTTTTTAACACAAGACCTATCTACCAAACACAAAGAGAGTTACTATCACTTAGCAAAAACATAAATGTCATTATTCATGTGTAAAGAGTCTTACGAGCAAACTAATAGCAAACGTATGACAAAATTCAAGATGCCATCAAATATTCATATCACCAAAACCTTTATTCCAAAAGAGCATAACTAAAAATCTGATAGGTTAATCACGACAAATGACCTTGCAATTAATATCAACCGTCTTCCAGAAACATTTGTTCCATACAATAAATCACTCTTCCAATCAATAAAATCATAATTAAATATTATCTTCAATCATTTGCAAATAACCATGTATTTCTTATTCCACTGAATCATTTTTCTTCCCTTGAGTTAAGTCTCTTCGTTAATTTTGTTAATAAAATAAAAAATAGAAGCAATTTAATCAAGTCTGAAGGATACACTCCTCTCGATATGCTACCAAAAATTATCATTATTCTTTTGATTAACAAATCCTTCTTACTCTTTATATTGATTAGCAAAAGTAAAAAATTGGGGGCGGGTGAGCACATAAAATCATTAACTTTTGGTTCTTGAATTTCATCGCAAAGAAGATGAAAAGAGACGCGGAACGTACAGTTTGCTGGCGGAAGCGTCGTCGTTTGTTTCCTGAACCGCAGCTCTATTGCTGCGCCAATCGGCTACTGGTGTCGCCATTTTCGCGCTGAGAGAGAGAATGCTTAGTCTGAAATCGTGTTATCTAAGTCGGTTGTCTGTTTTGTTAAGCGTATTGGACCCGCGACTTTCACTCCAATGTTTCAACCCAATTCTTTAAAAAATCATTTTAAATCGCACATTTTTTTAATAAAATATAATTTTTTACGTAAACTTAAATTTTTTCCTATTTTTTAACCACATAATCTCCAAAGTGTATTCCCTAAAAAATCGGGTTCAAACAAACTCATATTTTGTTGGGACAACTTCACAAAATTAATTTCAATTGCATCTGAATTCTCAACTTCAAATTTTATAACATTTTAGTGGTAATAAAATAGGTGAACCAAGATCGATTGATTGGCCTACAAAGAGGTCTTAATCAAATTTTATAACATTTTAGTGGTATTAAAATAGGTGAACCAAGATCGATTGATTGGCCTACAACGAGGTCTTAATATGTCTATTGTAGATTTGAACTAAAACGTCTCAAAAAATAATTTGGGCAAGGTTATGACCACCTTTCAAATATGAAGATTGAACCAGTACACGAGAGCTCGTACGAATTGTTGATGGGAGGAGGAGGCTACATCTAAGAATTTAGTTCCAAAAGACTAAACAACATGGTTCAACGCAAGATTCAAAGCATTGATCCTAAGCATATATTCGAAAAGTCTAACACATGTAATGCTCTTAACTTAGGAAGTATATTATACAAATGAGAGAACTCATCCTTATATGTAGGGCTGTCAATGGATTGGATTTTGATCCGAATCCGATGAATTTAATGGGAGATGAATTTAAGATCTCAATCCGATAACCCGATAAAGATCCGAATCCGATAATCTGTTAACTAAATGGATCAAATATGGATACAGGTCAATCCGATCCGATAACAATTCGATCTGATTTGTTATAAATAATTGAGTTGATAAAATATTTTTATGGCATATTATTTGTCACTAAAATAAATAAAT